ATGTCTTATTTAGTCTTCTTGAAATACCGAGCTTTGTGTACTTTCCTCATATTTTCCGTTTCATTGTCAATGTCAAATACTATTCGGATTTTCAATTAGTAGCTGCAGTCTGTCTTTGCATGTTTTTATTAAAAAGGGATGTAGACTTCTATCACTTCTGAGACATATAATGATCAGAAATGTGACCTTCTTAAATTTTATTACCTTTTCTTGGCAAACACAAGAGTGGAAGAGCCATGCTTCGGCACGAATGGGTCGGCTCGACCGGAGTGATACCACGGCCTCACAAAAGACCGGCGTGAAACAACCACAGCGTTGTATCTCCAAATCCCTAATCCCTAACAGGTCGGCAACGCACTCGTAAATATTCCATTGCGGGTATCCATGGGCGGCGCTGATTGCTTACCATCAGGTAATTCGTCTGCTCGTTTGCCGACCAATTACATAAAAAAAAAACACAATTAATCTACTTAAATACGTAATAATACTACTTTTTGAAAATTCATATATGTGACAATTCTCTTGCCTTAACTTAACCGGATCATAACGCTATTGAAGAAGTTTTTTACTTATAGGTCTTCGGACTAGATACAAGATATTGAATATCCTTAAATATAACTTTAATATGGAAGTTTGCATTCCATCGCAGAGTTGTAAATTTTCTGGCTATACTACTAACTGCCTGCTGTTACTAAACTTATAATTGAAATTATAAGTATAATGTTTTCTTACCTTACTTTATAATGTTTTCTTCACCGTTTATCAGCGGTGTTTATTAGAAAAAAACCTTACTAACTAAGGGTTCTTACCAAGTTTCTAACTCACACCTTCATATGCCAAAAGGAAGGCAGGCGCCTTAACCACGCCATTTGCAGCCATCGTAGAGCTTAATGGGTCGGAAAATTAATTACAAATGGACTGTCCGTTCTACAAACTCACGGTGACCTAAAAATAAATCGTAGTACGGCATTTTAATCGCGTGTAATTCTATTAATTACTAGTCGTACAATTCTCTATTTTTCCGACTATATTGAGAATGACTTGGATAAACGCGACTTTGCTTTTAGTATTTCTGTCAGTTCTAATAACTCATACTTATATGTAATATTTTTTACTTTAACAAAAAATAGGGCCAACGAGGTTTTATTTACATTATGTCTTTTTTGGCTGTAAATATTTTTGTCAGTAGGTATATGTATTCGGCCTTCATTCTGGTTACACTCGAATTTTTTTTTCGTTTTATTAGAAGAGCCTTGGCCCAAAAGTAGATTATGGTTGAAATACGAAAATATTATTTCCAATTTTTTATTTTGAGATATTATAATGTATGCCAGCAGGTCAACACGTCCCAAACTGAAAAGCTTTCTTATTGGACTTTTTACTTTATCACTTTCCTATAAAGTTAAAAATCTATTGAAGAGTGCAAACAACACAGATTAAAAATTTAATTAAATTTTGTGTTTTATTTTTTAGCTACGTACGGAGGTGTGTTCTCGCTGAGTTTCGGAGGATCTATTATAAGTTTGGTGGAAATAACGTATTTGTTCATTTCCTTTTTACTGACTGTTGTGTTACGAATCATTACAATTGTAATTTCCAAGAATAAAGTTAATGCAATGTAAAGATATTGTTTTATTTTGTACTACTTCTTGGATTTTCGTCTCTTAAACATATTTTTATTTAATCACATTTTTTTCTCTTTACTATGTTTAGATACTTTTATACCGTGTATACATCAAATTTACAAACTGATCCTAGGTATTGTTTAGACAATAATATTTTGATCCTATTTAATATTAGATACATACACGAATTTGTGAAATTCAACGATTGATGATTAAAGGAGTTTCTGAGAAACTTAATATTTGGTTTACTCCTAGTTCTAATACTTCCGTTGTGGTAACGTAAACAACATTAATCCCTCCCTTGTCAAGCAGCTTTAATCTTCTGAGTTTATTCTTATCTACTATATTGATACGTTTGTGAGAGATTTTCAGTTAAATATTATCTATGTTTATCAGTTTACTTAAAAAACTGTTCAACGAGGAACTTGACTCGTTTCAAGCCACGCCAGGAGTAATATACACATACAAGCACACGGATAGACACGTAATAAGGCAAACATCAGTTGGCTTCGGTACACGAAGCGAAATTGACCCGGTTATGTGTCGCTCAATTTTAAGGCGCAGCTCGGCTTCAAACAGTAATGTGGTGAACCATTAATCACAATCTATACTTACAATCTGTAGAGAGGTGAATACTGTACATGAAATACATTTTCAAAATCTATCAGGGGTTGGTTAGTAGTCGATACTTATAGAAAAGTGCAATCTGTAATATGTTTGTCTATGTGTCTGTGTGTATAGAAACAAAAACTACTCGACAGATTTTAACGAAACTTGGTTATTTTTCGTATTTCTGGACAGACTGTAGTATATTTTTCATCACACTATAATTAAAAGAGCAGTGTAGGGAAATGGGAAAATGAGAGAAGTTACTCCATTTTTTATGCTATCGTCGCGTATTCGGAGCATTCTGATTATATTTGTTTACTCTTACTCATACCTAACTAAAAGCAGTTAACATTAATGCCTATACTATATTCATATAAAAAAATAATGATAGAAATCAATATCGAAACACCAATCGTACATATACGTGAAATACTAAGAATGCATGCACCTTTGTAGCAAGATACTGTGAGTATGGCCCATACTCCATGTTTAGTTATTTTACCCTCTCATTTTACAAGAGGTCCACGTTACATGCACGAACGTACTCAAAAGTTTAATAACATCCATAAATCATGAAAATTTAGTATCAACAATTAATGTGGGAGAGCCATGCTTCGGCACGAATGGGTCGGCTCGACCGGAGTGATACCACGGCCTCACAGAAAACCGGCGTGAAACAACCACAGCGTTGTGTTTCGCCGTGTGAGTGAGGTTACCAGAGGCCTAATTCTTCCCCTCCCCCAATCCCTCCACATTCCCTAAATCTCCAAATCCCTAATCCCTAAAAGGTCGGCAACGCACTCGTAACTCCTCCGTTGCGGGTGTCCATGGGCGGCGCTGATTGCTTACCATTAGGTAAGCCGTCTGCTCGTTTGCCGACCTAGGTATTACATAAAAAAAACAACATTGCACCTGTGCGAAGCCGGGGCGTGTCGCTAGTTATCAAATATATTTCTCTTTTCCTAGTTCCAGGAGAAAATCAGCTTAACATTTTATTTTTTTATTGTACGGCAACCTGTCTATTGTTCTACTGGATTTTAAATTAAAGAATAAAAAATAATTCTGGAAAGTGAACAGTGACGCATTTTTCCAATAATGAGCGTTTTTGCTCCAATTTATGGATAAAGCTTTCATAAGAATAATAGTTGTTTCTTTTTTTACTTCTATATTTAATCCTTTTTATTCTATCGATATTTTTTGTGGTAGTTTGGTAAACTTTCTGAGGGGAAACCCTGAAAGAAACACCAGAGGTGATAAGTGTATGTTGCTGATAGGGCTAGGATTTTGACAATTAGGTGTTTGGGGATTGAGAATGGAGGTGAGGGAAGAATTACAAGATTGGTTTGAGAAAATATGACCATAGCACAATATGAATAAAACAAATTTAAATACATTTATGTGTTTATTCGTCGTATATTCGTTTATACATTAGTATCACATTGAATATAAAAAAATCTAACATTTATTTTCACTATTATACAATCAACATTTAGATACAAAAAATATTTACAATCGTATTTATGTATTTACATTTTGGTCCGACAAATCTGATATTTTACGAACCGCTAATCTCTTAAAACCCTTTTCAAAATAATTTTACCAATACAATAAGTTGTGTGATTAAAAAACCTTTTGTTGTTATTAAAATCATTGTTAAAGGGTTTTAAAGTTTCAATACAAGAGTAATAATAAAATAATACTTAATCTAATTCGTAAATTTATATCAAGTTATTTATACATAAATCACGCGTCTAAAAAGCTCTCACTTGCCTAATTAATCATATTTACACTAATAATTATAATCTAGTAATACGTGTATGTATGTATTATATCAAAGAAATAACGTTTAAGTATTTTTAACCTGGATTACAAGTTATTATTTGATTTCTCAGAAAAATCACTTTTTCTCGCAAAATTTTGCAACGTCAACGTCCAGGCGAGGATTAAGATAAAAATCACTTAATGACTTGTCACATTTTAATTATAAACGGTTATTAATTAGCCGACGAACAAGTGGGCAAGTCCACGGCGCGGGAAGATTAAAAAATATAATGAGATTTTTTGCGCTTCCGTCATTTTAATATTTTCGAATAACAAAATGCCTTAACCATTTAATTAAAAAAAAAGTTTATTAAACGAATAATAATTGTTAACTTACGTCGAAACATATCGGTTGAAAATACAAAATTTAGTGACATATATACCTATACATAGTAAACAAAATTATTATGTTTTTCAGTGGTACTAGTTGGTAGAATAACATTATCTGAATTGTTTACAAAACTATAATATGAATTTTACAAGCAGCGTGAAATAGTTTTAAATAGTATTTAATTATTATTAGTATTTTTTTCATTTTAATCTGACGGTATTTAGTTTTCCAGAATTAAGAAATCAGCTGAATTCACTGTTAAACTGTGTTCAAAGTCAATAATATTAATTCAGATGAGTTGGATAACGAGAATTATCTTATGAATATTTACAAATAATTTCAGTTGGTATGGAGCACAATGTTTCTAGAAGCTAGATATAGAGCTAAATGAACTTGTTTTTGTAATACTAAGGCGATTAATGTTCAAAGATGTTAGTGAACGATTTGACATCAACAGTCTTCTGTCACGTATTCAAACTCTTACAGCGTAACTGAGAGACGAAACTGAAACTTATTTTTTAGGGAATAGAGCTGAAAACCAGATTAGACTCATCACCTGATGGTAAATAATTAGCATCACAGCGCTTTTTCAAATTGAAGCGTTTGAAGGTTGTGGGATTTGGGGATTGGAGATTGGGAGGGCGGAGCTTGACCTATGGGCTTGAGTTAAGTAGCTACTTAGTGATTCTGAATAGGTACTTAGTAATATTTTCTAAATATTGTTTTATATCGATGTCTTCCTTATATTTTACCTGGAACCAATTTCACCGCACGAAGTCTAATTAATTAATTTAGTTACAACGCACTTTATTTTTAAGAGCTTTCGGAGTTAATTAATGATAAAGTTACGGACATTACAGGCTATAAGCTCTGGGTTAATGTACTCACTTATATATACATATCATTCATAAAAGTCACTCAACATCATTAAATTTATTAAAAATACTTTTACATTGAACAAAGGACTTCTTTTCGAGAGAAGTTTTGCTTTGCTTGTTATACAGTATACCGCAAATTTTGATAATGCTGCTGCCTTCTCCTTATTACCTGAATGTATTCTAACAATCACTCACACACAGAATTTGACTTTGAGTTCTTTAACGTTTGAAGTCAATGAGTCCATGACGTTGTAACATTTCAACGGACAAGGCGTGCGCAGGCGCCGTCCGTCGCGAGGACCGTGTCACGTGACTCAATTGCGTTGTTTGCGCACGCGTCTCGATGCCGCGGGGAATGTGCGTACTGTATGCATGACCGTTGTACCGGAGGTTGTGCATCTGCGGGAAAAATATGTATTAAAATAATTGCATGGTACTTAATACTTTATCTATAAAACCCATTTTTTAATCAAAATATTCGAAATTAGATACCACCAAAATTGCAGAATTGCAAACCAAATTTGCTCATCAAATAAATTACGGTTTTGCGGTGAATAATGTTGTTTCAAAATGCGTGTAAGTGGTGTGAATTCAGCTAGATTATTACTGTAAATTTTATACAAGACACCATATTATGATGAATTTTAATTTTTTCTTGTGCAGTATCAAGTATAGGTCTTCATTTAATAGTACAGTCATAAATTTGTTAAGTGGAGCGGTAGGTATTAGTGGAGAGATTCTGCTTTCTTTAATTCATAGAGTTGCAGCATTGCAATCACTGTCTGTAGAACACAATTGATTTGAAACAGACTAGTCTAAATTAAATTTGCTTCAGAAATTTTCTTCGGCTACTTAAGTACATCAAGAATTCTAGACACGATATAAACTAAAGGCTTCGTTCTTGGAGAACAGTAACTGTTTCCCGTACCATGCAGATTAATAGTCAGCTCGCAATTTATTTGGCTATACCCTCATTTTGTACTGTAGCCAAAACTAATTACTGCTTTTATATAGACTTAGGAAACTTAAGTGAGCTCTAGCGGATTTTAATTAGAGGCCTGACTTTCTTACTTTTACATTTACCATATTTTTTTCTGAGGGCGTCAAAATAACTATAAGGATAGACATGAGATTTGTTTCGCCTTCGTATTTGCTATCAGGGAAAGGTAGTGTTGTTGTTGTTGTTGTTCCCCGTTGTTATCACATTCTATTCCCGCTTCATTGAGTAACTATCCACGTATCCACGCTTGCTAAATTTCACATACATAATATTTGTAATGTAAGCACATAGGAAATGTTTCAACGCCATCATAACAAGACTATTTAACAACATGAAATATACACAAATGAAAATGTGTGATAGGTTTACCTATATGTAGATATTGTTATTATAAAAGCAACATCGCATTATAAAAGCAAGTGTGGAAGAGCCATGCTTCGGCACACATGGGTCGGCTTGACCGGAGTGATACCACGGCCTCACAGAAAACCGACGTGAAACAACCGCAGCGTTGCGTTTCGCCGTGTGAGTGAGGTTATCGGAGGCCCAATCCTTCATCTCCCCAAATCCTTCCCCAATCCCAAAATATCCCAAATCCCTAATCCCCAAAAGATCTGCAACGCACTCGCATTAAATGTTGTTGCGGGTGTCCACGAGCGGCGCTGATTGCTTACCACCAGGTAATTCTTCCGCTCGTTTGCCGAAACATCACATAAAAAAAACATAAACGTTGGCCTCGTTAAAAAAATTGACCGAGATAAAATGGAATCCCTACCGAGATGTATCACCGGGAAGTTAGCTCGTGAATGCAGAAACTTCTTAAGTACACTTGGAGAAGTTTTATCTCCGAACACCTTGAAAAGGTTTCTTCAAGATTATATTATTCTTGTTCTAAGAACTATTACATAAGTGTTCGGTTTAATGTTGGCTAATTTTTGGCTGAAGACAGCGTAAAGATCATTAAGAGTCAAATGTTACGAAGCTGTTTTGTTTGCCTCTGAGGTTCTATAAAAACTCTTCGTTTTGTTTTGATTACTTTATTTTCCAAAAATTAAATATATGTATTTTTATATCAAGTTTTCTATACCTTTTCTGTTCTTTGAATATATAGTAAATATATAATCAACATTTAGCTATCCATTTATCTTATAGAAAATTAAAATGTTCTAATCTCACGTTACTAATCTCAAATACAATTTATTTTCGACTTTATGAAATAAGGCACGTAAGCTAGTCTTGCCAGTATTGCGTCTAGGTGTCGTTTAAAACAAAATTTAAGTTACGAACCCTAAGGGTGACCTTTCGTATAATTACTTAACGTTGTTTAACTAGGCGGCAGGGAGTCTTAGGTTGACTAATAGTTCTAATAGCAAAACAGAGGCCATAATATTTCTTAAAGATTTCGTTCAATTGAATGATGAAAATGATAACGATGCCTTTGTTTGAAGACCTGAATATTCATTTTTTTATAAATTACTAGCTATTCTGGCGCGGTTTCACCCGCTTCTCGGCTCCATTTAATTGTAGCGTGATGTTTTATAGCCTATAGCACTCGGGAACATTGTAGCTATCTAGCAGAATTTTGGAAATCCGACCAGTGGTTCCAAAGATTACCCCCTACATAAAAACTTACAAACATACAAACTTCCAAATTTTACCTCTTTATAATATTAGCATAGATGATTTTTCGTGGGTAAGATGCAAACTAGCTGTCATATTAGCAAATGGTAAACAATCGGCATCGCCCATAGACACCCACAGCGAAAGAGTTTCGATTGCGTCGTCGAGCATTTGGGGATAAGGGTTATGGAGATTTAGGGATTGGGGAAGAATTGGGCCTCCTGTAACCTCACTCATAAGAAACACAAAGCTGTGGTTGTTTCATGCCGATTTTTTGTGACGTCGTGGTATCAGTCCCATTGCATGGTTTCCTCAGACTTTTACCCAGGTAGTCATTATATAGCCCGCTGCTTGTGATTTTCCTTTTAGCAAAGAAAGGAGGAAAATTTTTACATAAAAAGGATATAAAAATGATTCCATAAAAAAATACTAATGAATGAATTGAAAACTGAAAATGTAATGTGGGTAAAGGAAAGCTTACAAATACACGGTATATAGTTATTTTAAATCCGGTCAAATGAGAGTCTGAATCGCAAAGAATTCGCGATTTTAGTATGGAAATAAAAAAAATCATTTTCAAAATTAGTAGTTATAATGTTTAAAATACATATCTAATTTCTAATGTCTACCTATCATAAAATACAATCTAATACCAAATAAAGACTGTCGGACTCTTAGTTATAGGGTTTCCGTTTTTACCCTCTGGCTCCTACAGAACCCTAAAAAATGAGCCACCAAAATGTAGGTACGCTCATAACTGCTGAGTGAAAGCACGGGATTGGATAATGCTTTTTTTGTCGTTGCGCGACAAGGTTTTGTATGAAGGAAAAGTTGGATGTACTGCGGACGGGAGCTAGATTTTTTAATAAACTTTTTTTTTTATTAAATTAAAATGTGAACCAACCTGTAAGTAGCACCTTTTGTGAGGCTCGTGGTACAGCTCGTAGTCGCTCGAAGAACCTTCAGGCTTCTGAGCACAGCGCCACTGTTGACAAAATACCAAATTATAAATTAAATGTCGCTCATTCTACTGATACCATAAAATAATTTGAAAGTATGTAAGAATGTATTTTATTATAATACTGTCCCGATTATAAAAGGAAATATCCATCGGAAATAAAAATAGAAATCTAGATAAGATTATTGTTATATTAAGCGTGGGAGAGGCAAGCTTCGGCACGAATGGGTCGGCTCGAACGGAGTTATACTCACAGAATACCGGCGTGAAACAACCACAGCGTCGTGTTTCGCCGTGTGAGTGAGGTTACCGGTGGCCCCAGTTACTACAGGTAATAAGGGTACAGGCTCGTATGCCGACTTATTCCATAAAAATATATAATAATTTTGAACTTTCTGTTATGAGGAACGTTTAACATTCATTCAATTAAGTACGATTACAATCTCCTCCCTCCTGCATGGGGCGAAAGGGTGTGTCAGACTTTTACTGACTAAAATCCACCCCATTCCTTCCCCTGCTCCGGTCCATGGCGACGATACATTATTGACCGAGCACCCGCAACCGCAGCTGGACATCGTCCAGTCCGGCCCGTCCCTATCTGTAGTGGTTTGATGGCTCTTTGCGGTGCGTTCGATACATGACACGCCGAGCGTACGGCGTGTCACGGGTTTGCAGCTACTTTTTTGCCGCGAAAATGAGTTAATGGCAGCCAGAGATCGTTGTGCGACCCCCAACACTTACAACGGGAGTGAAAAGTTCCGCAACTGATCGCTTTCACAAAGACACAGCGATGTTCAGCCCAACTAAAAACTCATTTCAGTTTTTTTTTCAGCTTGATGATCTGATGTTCATACTAGTATACCTATTTCGTAGTACTAGTTATATAGACTATTTCCAGGAAGAAAAAGGTCTGCCAATTATTATGAAAACAAATGATTTTTGGAAAAATTCCTGTACCGTTACCTCTACCGAGTAAAGATGTGGCTAATGAGTTCCTGCATTTATCTCATATTCAAACATAATTCATTATTGATATTTTCGGCAAATGAGCAGATAGATCACATGATGGTAGATATTCGGTGTCGTCTACGAACATCATGGACTTCATCGCAATATCAAAGAGGAGTTTGATACGCGTTCCTGCCTTTTTTAGATGACAGGGATATGAGGAATGGGGAATTTGGGATTGGGGACGGTATACGACTAGGCTTTCTGGGACCAGTTTTCTGCGAGGCCGTGATTTCTAAAAATCATGGCTCATCTACACTTAAATTCGTTATAATATGCAAACACATTAGAATAAAATTCAGCTCTGTTACAAAAAAAAAAAAATTTGTAAAAACAATGTTCGCGGATAAACACTTATGAATACAACGTAATAATAATATATGAACAAGTTAACCATCTTTAACCATAAACATTTAAACCCACAACACCATCCAAAACAAACAAACAAAACCAGCCCAGCTTTGTACCTATAAAGTAAAACTATTTCATAACAAAATTCTAAAACTATTTGTACTAAACAACTTAATATGTGGAACGTTTTAGTTTTCAACAACATTCAATAAATATTAATACTGAATACTTTAGGGAAATAGGACACTTCGAATGGAACGTTCTTGAAGTTAAAAGGTATCGTCGTGCTATTTCGTATGTCGGCAGGTGGGAAAATTGTCAAAATGTCCTTGAAATGTTCTAATAGAATTAAAAAGCTCAATCTTCGTCACTATAAGAAAGGCTTCAAACATGTTCTGTAAACGAAATGTCCATGATTTCTATTAAAATTTACTGCAACTCTGAGTGTACTTCTTTGTCGTATTTCCTTGTAGTATTTATAGCAGTGGAGGAAATCAGTATGATGATGATGTATTTATTAATACGTCAAAGGATTGACAGAGGCGTCATTATGGCGGTCTTGATCATTGATATCCGTAGCGAGAGTTGCAAAATCAATAAAAAGTTTCAATAAAAGGACCCTTATTTTAAGTGTGGAAGACCCATGCTTTGGCACCAATGGGTCGGCTCAACCTGAGTGATACCACAGGCTCACAGAGAACCGGCGTGAAGCAACACGTACGTTCTGTTCGCCGTGTGAGTGAGGATACTAGAAGCCCATTCCTACCCCCCTTCATCCTTCTCCCCAGCCGCAATCATCCCATAGCCCACAAAGGCCGGCAATGCATTTGTACTATCTATCACCTTTTAATTTGTATAATGATGGGCGAGATGCAATTGTTTACGATCAGGTAATCAACCTGCTCGTGTGCCGGCCAAAAACATAAAAATAACTTATAATTCATCATCATCATTATCAGCCTATAAGTGCCCACTGCTGAGCAAAGGCCTCTTCTCACCCGGAGAAGGTTTGAGCATTAATCACCACGCTTGCTCAATGCGGGTTGGCGATTTCAAACTTACAGTTAGAAATTATAAGTCCAGGTTTCCTCACGATGTTTACCTTCACCGTATGTCAGTGGTGTCTTAATAATCATAGAAAGTACGTATAACTTGGAAAAAGTCACATTGGTACTTGCCAGGTTTCGAACCCACACCCTCATGCTTGAGAAGCGGGCGCCATAACCGCGGGGCCACCATGACAGGCGTATCATAAGTCATAACAGTATCCTAACTTATAATTATTTTAGTAAAATTACAGATATCAAGATTAGACCTGCTGTATGAGCCAATAGTCTCGTTCTCGTTGCACTCGTCCAACTTTGGTTCATAGCTGTTTTAGCTGACAGCTGTCTTTACCGATGGCGACATATTACCCTATTGGGTATTACTCGCTCAAAGATTTAATAACAGATTCAAATAAATAAATAACTAAAATTAGTTTATTACGCAAATAAAGTGTATAATTTAATTACTAAAATAAATGGAATATCATTGCTCCGTCATACACAAATACCTACAATATTGTTTGTGTGTAATGCAGATATATAATTTAATTAATTATTTTAAAATTATTATGTATATTTATTTCATAAATGACTTCTCCTGCTCTGCGAGGCCGCGGTGACTCATTGCACCTGTAACCCTGGCTTCCGTGGTAGTCTATGGGCTCTTTGAGATGCGCGCGAAACGCTACTCGCCGCCCGCAGACCCGCGCTTACGGTGGCCGGAGATCATCTCTCGACCTTTGTTTGTCTAAACTAGCATAAAACATTTAAAATGTAGAAACAATAGTTCAAATCCTACCTAAGATTCCTAAAATAATTCTTCCTTCTAATTTCTACTCGGGTGTATTTATAACATACCCACCGAAAGGCTAGGGAGAGATAAATAACTCGATTATCCAACAAAGTGTAATATCAAACTAGGATGGTATCCCATTCATATTCATTTGTAATTGCGACCAGGCGAGCTGGTTATTTGTAAAGGTTCAAACGCTTAATAATAGTAAATGGCGCTGAGGTGTGAAAGCGGGCAGCCATCTTGTTTGTCTTGTTAAACGCCAACTAAAATCGTACCTACGTTCCAACCTCCTTGATTAATTAATGTAAATATTTGTCCTCATATTAAATAAATTTATTTGACCTTCTATCCTTCAAATACACATATATGTTACTAGATTTTACTACGAGTATTAGTTTTGTTACTTATTAAGGTTAATAAAATCTTGATCTTCAAAAATGTCGTCGTCATAATTTTATCCAATTATAAGAATTTCGAATTCTAAGTCTCGCATTAAATTTCAGTCTAGGCTAATTATTATTATTATTGGAATTACGACGACAGTCACATTTTCCTAATTTATTCGATTATAGATCCAACGACGCATACTATTACCAAATCATATACCTATTTGAAAATACATTACTTAATAAGCTTATACTTGGTTAAGTCTTTCTGTTTCTCAGAATTCCCGTATTGTTTCGAATACATGTTATTTCAATAATTTATTGCGACAAAAATGCTAAATATCAATATTTTTCAAAACAAGTAGATATCATTTTAAGAGCGTTTTATATTTACATTTATTTTAATTTTGATTATAATATACATTAATAGAAGTAGGTATGTTTAGAACACATACTTTTAACACACGTAGAATTATTAATAAAACAAAACGAAGCACTACACTAGAAGAACGAAATGAAAAAATTAGGTTAAGAGAAAATTCTGACAAGAACACAACTATTATTTGGTGTATCAAATTATTGGCGCTCACATAATAACATGATTAGGTATACAACGAACGAAAATACAACCCTTTCTTTGAAACAAATTTATTACAAAAATAGATTATGTAACGACATTATTATTTTGTTTCTACTCATAATATAATATGGCATAAGAGAGAAAGAATAATATTTTTATCTTTTTTTTATTTCGTTAAACACAACCTCACGTATCTTTATTATTCGCTGAGAAAAAGTATTTGGAATTACGCGCCTAGCGTAAGGCGTACGCGTACATACACAGTCAACCTCCCCCCCCCCCCCCATTCGCCAATTATGCTCGATTGTTACAATGACAACAATCAGGCAAAATGGTTATAATAATTCTTACTTATTAGAAAGAATTATCATTGTACCCTTGTCATAAAATTTTCGTTTAAAATTGTTATTTTAGTAAGTATTCTAAAGATATCGATGTTTCATAACGGCTCTTTAGTCAACAGCGCGAAGAGTTCCGTAGTGCCATGAAAATAGTAGAGCATTCCTCTGTTAATTCACGTGAATGGGTAAGTTGGTATTTTTAATAAGTTAAGTATTTAACTGAATACCACACATTTATTTAATTTATATACATTTCATATCTATTTATGCCTTCTTCATGTGATGATGGTGGTGAATCAGAAGTCTACTATTCAGCTAGTAGCAGTGATGACAGCTTCACTAGTCTACCTTCACTTGCTGATACACTTACTACGCATTTTTCTGATGTCCCTGGGAATTTTAATGTAGTTCACATAAACGCACAGAGCATTCCGGCTCATTTTCCTGATATGCTGGCAAGTTTTGACTGTAAGAATGTTCATGCAATTCTTGTTTCAGAGTCGTGGCTCAAGCCTTGTC